TGGATGGATGGATGATTGGTTGGTTGGATGGATGGTTGGATGGATGGTTGGTTGGTTGGTTGGATGGTTGTTGATTGGATGGATGGATGGATGGTTGGTTGGTTGGATGGATGGATGGATGATTGGTTGGTTGGATGGATGGTTGGATGGATGGATGGTTGGTTGGTTGGCTGGTTGGTTGGATGGTTGTTGATTGGATGGATGGATGGATGGATGGTTGGTTGGTTGGTTGAATGGATGGTTGGTTGGTTGGTTGGATGGATGGATGGATGGATGGATAGTTGGTTGGTTGGTTGGTTGGTTGGTTGGATGGTTGTTGATTGGATGGATGGATGGATGGATGGTTGGTTGGTTGGTTGGTTGAATGGATGGTTGGTTGGTTGGTTGAATGGATGGATGGATGGATGGATGGATGGATGGATGGATGGTTGGATGATTGGTTGGTTGAAGATTAATCTGAATTTAATTCAGAGTTGTTGTTTGGTCTTTTCTTTACTTGCTCACATTCAGTGAATCTTCTCTTCAGGCTGCAGAAGCTCCACTTTGAAGAACAGAAAGATTTCTTGAAAAGAGTATTTGATTGTTAATAAATGATCATAAAAACTTCCTGAAGGAGTTTTTCTTTGTGATTCATGGAACTGAACCAGGTTTGATCACAGTGGACTCTGGGTTCTCAGTTCTTCCCTCACACAGAACATGGCTGTCCTGACAGACCTCTGGTTGAACTTGTCACGTTAAAGACTGGTTAGGACCTGAGGACACTCCCCTCAGGACCTCCATACTCTGTCACCACAACAACCCTGGAGACGTTTGCTGCTGTTGAAAACTGCTGTGGACCTGCTGCTGATGTATCTACTGTAACAAGAACATTTAGTTCTTAAAACACATCAGAGGATCTTACGATGACCTCAGTGAGAACATGACGACAAACATTCAAAGTTTATTGGTGGTTGTGATAAAAGCAGTTTTAGTTGTTAGATAAGAGTTCCACAGAAGAGGTTATGTTTTTGAAAGTGTTGGTWTGTCTAAGATTAAAAAGTTATGAATAATGGTTTGTGTTTTTAAACCTTTGTTTTTTCAGTTTCTTGTATGAGTTGCTTTATTTTCCCGTGTTCCTCGTGTCATCCCAGTCCTGCCAGCCTGCCTGTCACACCTGTCAGTGCTTCATCACCCAGGTGCAGCCACTTCCCACTCAGCCTCTGTCAGAACGAACGTCAGACGTTTGTTCATTTAATAAAAGTATTTTATTTGCTCGACCTCCTTCAGTCTGCGTGGGCTCAGCATGTTCAGGACATGTTGGGGTGTTGATGTTCTGACATCTCCAGAGCTGTGATTTTTAATAATGATGTCATACTGTGACAGCGAATCAGCTTCCAGCAAAACCTTTTTCCACCAATCACAGCTCAGCAGCTGCACTCTCATTAATATAATCCAGGCTCCTGAATTATTCTTGTTCTGTCACTGAGTTAGATCAAAGCAGAATAACTTTAAATTACTTGTTGTGGAAAAAGAGACGCTCTTCTTCTGTCTTCAGTGTCAAAGTGTAAAAGCAGATGAGCTGATTGTTTTAGATTCATGAGGCTGAAGCTGAAATCACTTTTATAACAAGAAGCTTTCAGCAGGTAAAAACTGCTCCAGGCTTTTATTCCTTTATTTATTTTCATTCACCTGACTTAGTGTTAAATAACTAAGACAACATGGTGAAGTTATAACCAAGAACAGGACTATTCAACTAAACTGCTCTGAGGGCCACAGTTACTGCAGACCAACAGCTCAGGGCCCGAACATCCAGCAATTAAAGTTATTATGTAAATAAACCAAGTATTACAAAGACCTGTTACCTTTGAATCAGTTTATTTTGCTGCATTTAATCATGAATAAAACATACAGAACCCTATAAAAGTAGTGATAATTAAACAATATCAAAAACATAAAGAATACACTAGGCCTCCTATTTAACACAAATAATATTTTAACATCTCTGACTTTCCAATTTTATTTTCACTTCCATAGTTTTATCTTCAACTGCTAGTAGTTTTAACTGTCTTGAGTGTTTATAGAAATGTTTTTTACCAGCTTGTAGCCAAGATTCTGATGTTTCTGTAGACACCAAACATGTCTGTGTTTAACTAAAAGAACTTAGAGTAATTAAAGTAGAAAATCAGGGTTTGGGCTGAAGAGRTGAATGTGAAACAATTGGTGGGCTGAACTTTGGTCACGGCCCGCAGGCCGCCAGTTGAATAGCCCTGACCTAAAATGCTGCAAAATGTTGTCTGTTATCTAAAAAGCCAATAAGTTTATTAACTACTGAGCTGTAAAAACATATAGAACCCATAAATATGTTTTAAAACATAATTATCTCACAGGTTTCCTATTTAATATAAATGTTCTCCTGTTTGTTTTGTTCTGTCTTCTTGTGAATGAGTGTTCTGAACTGTAATTTCATTGTGCGCTGTACAATAAAGGCTTATCTTATCTTATCTTATCTTATCTTATCTTTTATCTTATCTTATCTTATCTTTTATCTTATCTTATATTTTATCTTATCTTACATATCTTATCTTTTATCTTATTTTTATCTTTTATCTTATCTTATATTTTATCTTATCTTACATATCTTATCTTTTATCTTATTTTTATCTTTTATCTTATCTCATATTTTATCTTATCTTACATATCTTATCTTATCTTATCTTTTATCTTATCTTATTTTTTATCTCTTATCTTATATTTTATCTTATCTTACATATCTTATCTTTTATCTTATTTTTATCTTTTATCTTATCTTATATTTTATCTTATCCTATCTTATCTTTCTATCCGTTATCTTATCTATTATCTTGTCTTATATCTTATCTATTATCTTATCTTTTATCTTAGCTTACATATCTTATCTTTGATCTTATTTTTATCTTACATATTTTATCTTATATCTTATCTTTTATCTTATCCTATCTTATCATTTTATCTTTTATCTCATCTTATTTTTATCTTATCCTATCCTATCGTATCTTTCTATCTTATCTTATCTTATCTTATCTTATCTTATCTTATCTTATCTTATCTTATCTTATCTTATCTTATCTTATATGACAAAATATTATTTGCTGTTAAGAATATGTTCCAACATCAAAGTGTCCTGGAGCAGTGCAGGCAGTTTGTAAATGCACTTTGACTCTTCCTGTGTTGATCCTAAAAATGGATGATTTCTATGATTTAAACTGTGATCAAACAGTAATCTCATAAAAACAGGCCCAACAGTGCAGAACTGAAAGCATCCTCTGTGCTGTGGCAGGTGGCTGCTTGTTAGTTTCAGCTGGTAAACACCATCAGGGACCATAAGTGCACAGTTGGTCCTGTTCACACCCCTGCTGATGGCCCCACCTCAACATGTCCTCCTCAGCCGCTCGGACCCCCGTGTGTCGCTGTGTCTCATGAGGACAGCCTGTCAGTGTCACGTCCCCACGACTGACAAAAACTGTCAGTGCCCATGTGTCACCAACACTTGTCTGAGCTGCTCACGTATTTCCTCTTCCTGAAGAGTCATGGTTTATGTTCTGTTTGTTGTCGAATCACAGGGGATCTGTCACCACTACCAAACTCCAAATTAAAACACGTGAACCTTGTAACATAATGAAACACTTTGAGCAGACGTGATGAGATGAAAGACTAAAGACTTCAGAGGTTTTATTGTAAATCATTTGGTGAAGTTTCCCTTCTGGATGTAACAGAGTTGATGCAATCCACTGTAAAAGTGACAAAAACACACAAAGTTATTTTATTGCAGTGATTAATTTGACCTATATGTAGAAAATGTTACATTTACATGATGACATCATGGATCACATATTGATCAGATGCTGCTGCTGACTGATCCATGATGTCATCATGTAAATGTAACATTTTCTACATATAGGTCAAATTAATCACTGCAATAAAATAACTTTGTGTGTTTTTGTCACTTTTACAGTGGATTGCATCAACTCTGTTACATCCAGAAGGGAAACTTCACCAAAGTGAAACATAAATCTGTGGATCTGTGTTTGATTACTCTGCCTGGCTTTCTCAAGGACCAGGATGTGACACAAAAATCTGAATTATGGAACTGAAAGTGAAAGTAGTCAAACTGAATTTTTAATAAACCAAAATACAGTTTCAAAGTAAATTAATTCAGATACAAAACTTTAAATTCAGTTTCAATTTAATGAAATTTATTTTCAAACCAATGCATTCAATTTCAAATTCTGCACATTCAGATTCAATCTGAAGAATTCAAATTCAATTCCTGCTGACACAGGATTTATCCCATACATATCTATCTGTTTATAAATTATAAAACCTTTTATTTAAGTTTTTATTTCAGTAAGTTGTTTCAGTATAAGGTATTGTATGGGACTTTCTTAATGTTGAGGATTTGTGGTTGAAGATCTCAACAGTAGGGAACAGGTTTTTATTTAAAAAGAAAAATAAAACCCTTCAATGTTACAGTGTGCACTGACTTGATTCTTCCTCAGCAGTTGGATTAAACATGTCAAACAGCACTGATTCCAAACAGAAAATAAACCAGAGATGGTTGCTTTAAAGAGTAATGTGTGTTAATTTGGTTTGATTTCACAGTTTGTTTTTTATATTTGTGCTGTGCAGGGGCAGGGGGAGGCGTCAGTAAGAAGCTCAGCCATGGAGGGCGACTGCCTCAGCTGTATGAAATACCTGATGTTCATCTTCAACTTCTTCATCTTTGTAAGTCTCGTACACTCTAACTTCTAAAACATAATTCTGATTTATTTATTAACTGACAAAACTGAAATCATGAAAGGTTTTCTAGAAACCAGAGCAGAAATGTAACCATCCATGACCGACTCAGAAACAGGCTTTAAACAGGTCCTCAACCCTCCTAGACTGAGGATCGCGTATTAGACAGGATCTGTCCGAGACTCCTTCAGACTTGGGGACAGAATCTTCAGCTACAGCAAAGACCACAGTAGTGGACACTGGAGACGAGTCAGACAGGGAGCTCTGCAGAGACTCAAGTAAAGACCTGGAGATCTTGGGGAGTCGAGACCTCAGGATGGGGAGTCGAGATTTGGGGATGTTGGGGAGTTGAGATTTGGGGATGTTGGGGAGTCCAGATTTGGGGATGTTGGGGAGTCGAGACCTCAGGATGGGGAGTCGAGATTTGGGGATCTTGGGGAGTCGAGATTTGGGGATCTTGGGGAGTCGAAACCTGGGGATGTTGGGGAGTTGAGACCTCGGGATAGGGAGTCAAGATTTGGGGATCTTGGGGAGTCGAGACTTGGGGACTCGAGACATGGGGATCTTGGGGACTCAAGACTTGTAGATCTTTTTGGAGTCGAGGTTTGGGGATGTTAGGGAGTCGAGACATGGGGATCTTGGGGAGTCGAAACCTGGGGATGTTGGGGAGTCAAGACTTGGTGAGTAGACACCTATGGATGGGAAGTCAAGATTTGGGGATCTTGGGGAGTCGAGAYTTGGGCACTCGAGACATAGGGATCTTGGGGAGTCAAGACTTTGGTACCTTGGGGAGTCGAGACTTGTAGATCTTGGAAAGTCGAGACTTTTAGATCTTTTTGGAGTCAAGATTTGGGGATGTTGGGGAGTCGAGACTTGGGGATCTTGGGGAGTCAAGACTTGGGGAGCTGAGACCTCGGGATGAGGAGTAAAGATTTGGGGATCTTGGGGACTTGAGACTTGAGGATCTTGGAGACTCGAGACCTGGGGTTGGGGAGTCAAGATTTGTAACATCATGTCTCTGTCTTTCACAGCTCGGGGGGTCCTTCCTGTTGGGGGTCGGTGTTTGGGTCTTGGTGGACCCAATGGGCTTCAGGGACATCGTGGCGGTCAACCCCCTGCTGTTTACGGGGGTCTACGTGATCCTGGCCATGGGGGTCATGCTGTTCCTGCTGGGCTTCCTGGGCTGCTGTGGAGCCATTCGAGAGAACAAATGTCTGCTGCTCTTTGTGAGTCAGAACTGATCATGGTCCTCTTTCAAGTTCTGGTCCTGTCCTCGTTTCTTTGTTTTATTAATATCCAAACTTTCCTGTAATCTTTTCAAGTTGAACAACAGTTCTCCAGACTTTCAGGYGTTCTTTCAGAGGTTTGAACTGTGAAAGCTACAGGATGTGTAACATTTAAAATCATGAAACCTGTTCATCTTTGACTGATGTTAGCTGAGCAAACAGGGAGTTATCTGATGACACTAAGCTTACTGAGACATGAGAGTCAAGCCTCTGAAGCCTTTCCTCTGCCTACATCCCCCAGAATGCTGTGCRGCACAGACTGAGGTTCAGGGAAATTGTCAACAATCTATCAGACAAATAGAAAATAAAAAAAGAATGGCCCTTTGGTGGTCCATGGGCCAGTGCCACATAAACCAAACCACAACTGGGCCAGTTGTGAAACAGTGCCATCAGTGCCAGACCTGGCCCACATCTGGTTGACAAAGCGCTTGTCATGCCAGCTGTGTGGGATTTGTTGTTTTGAAGAAAGTGTTATTTATAATGAAAAGTGAGCCTTTATTTGGCTAACCATTAGCCTAGCCTGGATGAAGACTTCTGCACTCTACTCCAGAACTGATGTCACAGCTGAGCCAGAACTCATGAAATGAACAGAACAGTTTGTTCAGATGAACGTYCTGAGGATGATTTCTCTGCTCTCAGTTCTTCATGTTGATCCTCTTCATCTTCCTGGCGGAGCTGGCAGCTGCCATCCTGGCCTTCCTGTTCAGGGAGCACGTGAGTACCAAACCTGGGTCAGGTCTCTTTCTTCAAAGCTCTGAAACAGATAAAAATTAACACTAATCTTAATTTAGTCATGATCAAATCTAAGTAATTATTTTTAAATTCTGCAGTTTCAGCTCCTGCAGGGTTTTAAAGACAGTCCAGCAGGTTTTAGTCTGGATTCTGGACTTCATTAGAATAAATTACAATTTATTTCTACATGGCTTTTAATTTGGTTTTACAGTGAATTTAGATCTATTTTTGTAATTATTTATAGTGCCCTGAGACAATATATATATAGATAATATAAATATAATAATATAAATAAACTGAATTAATTAAATTAGTTAATTAATTGGATGACAGACCTGCACCAACATGTTGTGTGTTTGTGTGTCGTCTCAGTTAACCAGAGAATATTTCAGCAGGGAGCTGAGGCGTCACTATCAAGGCCGGAACAACACTGACGTGTTTACGTCCACCTGGAACGTCATCATGAGCACGGTGAGCCGTCTGTCCTGCTTGGCTCCTCCCACCTCACCTGTACAAGTCTTCATCACCTGGTGTTCTCCCGACAGTTTGACTGCTGCGGCGTGAGCGGACCTGAGGACTTCGAGGACAGTCTCTTCAGGCTCCTGAACCCGACCAAGATGGTTCCCGAGTCCTGCTGCCAGAGGAGCGGGTACCTTGGGGAGGCGGGCGTGGAGCAGTGTGTGAGTGGCAGCATGGCCTTCAGACACAACAAGGTCAGAAAAATAATCATTTTCTGTTTGTTCGCTTCACCTAGATTGTGTTGAAGAATATGATCACTGAAAACAATCAGATCCACTAAATAAGGTCTGGACTTACCAACTACTCTGGTTCTGGTTCAGACTCTGGTTCTGTGTCAGACTCTGGCTCCAACATGGACAGGTCTTCTCTTGTTCACATCTTTTAAATAATTTGTAAATAAAAGGTTTCTGCGCAGCTATRTARCCATAAACCCCTCYATCAAACTGGAATGAACCGGTCTGGAAGCTGAAGGGRGGCGGGGTTATGAAGCGCCTCATTGTCTCACTTTTAAAACTCTTCCAAAAACACATTTATACTCCCTGGCTTTTGACACAGCCTGAGACTAATTTATTCTTTATTTTATTTTATTTTTATTGTTTTATTACTGGTTTTAGTGTTTTTAATCGTTGTCTTGTGTTTTCATGTTTTGGTTTTATATATGTACAGCACTTTGTTGCAGCTGTGGTTGTGTTAAAGGGATTTATAAATAAAGTTGAGTTCAGTTGTATTTAAAGAGACAGCCTCAAAACAAGTTGATCTGAGACACACCCCAGAAAAGGGGCGGAGCTTGTGGCGTTGCAAAAAGCAGGAATTCAGACCAAAGTGTTGCAGTTCCACTTTATAAAGACCCAACTGAAGGATTTAAATGTGGAAAAGAAGAATTGAAAAGCAGGATATGACTTCTTTAAGTAGGCGGGGCCAAGAGAGAACCAGGTAAACAACAAAAAATATCTAAATGAAATTCACTTAAACTTTGTTTTTATGATGACATTGTATATTGGCTCATTTTGCTTAGTTTATTGTTTTGTGTATGTTTTATGTGTTTTTATTCATGTACAGCACCAACGGGGTTGTTTTAAAGTGTTTTATAAATAAAGTAAAAAAGCAAAACCAGAGAACCCAATTTGATCCATAAACGATACGCGATCATTTATTTACATAAATTAAACAAATCATGAGTTAACAACTTAGTTGTGGGTAATCAGTTTCCTGACTCAGTTTTTAAGTTTTGATTGAATAAATTCAGACTCTGTGATGAGTCCATCCTGATACTTGGAATTAAAGCAGCGTCACTCTGAGTATTTGTGTTTTACCTGCAGGGATGTTACTCAGCCATGGTGGAGTATTTTCAGACGTACATCTACTCAGCAGGAGCTCTGGCCATTATTGTTCTCGCAGTTGAAGTAGGTGTTTTTTAATCTTTACATTAAAGTTTGTAATAATAGATGATAAAGTATAAAAATAAAACTATATGAAACTTTTATTAATTTATTCAGTGTGATCGTCAGAAAATAGTTTTCTTTTCAGAGGAGATTGTTTTTATCCTGACTGTATCAGTTTTCACAGTCAGACTTGTTTTTCTGATCTGAATTCTGTTCTCTTGCAGCTCTTTGCCATGGTGTTTGCTATGTGTTTATTCAGAGGGGTCCAGTAATCCTCCTCCTCCTCCTCCTCCTCCTCCTCCTCAGCAGCAGGAGAACAGACTGTAAAATATAAAATGGTGTGTAGTGTTGTGTGTCTGCTTGGTTTTATGATCAGCGTTGTTTCAAACAGCAGAATCTCTCTGATGAACACGAAGCTGCGTCGGTTCAGAAACAGACTTTTTCCTCCAGGTTCTGAACAAGCAGCAGATGTGCACACAGCTGCCAGGTCCAGATTTAAAGATGGAAACACGTTCAGGTTGTTTCCTGTCTCTCACCTCACTCTTTGGTTTGCTGATTTTCTCACTGAGTGTTTGCTATAGCTTCTAATTGAAGTTATAAATCAGAGAATCTGCAGATAACCTGTAAATATAAACATATAAACAGCAGTTTGTTTCTTTTTCTGTGGACTCCTGTTCAGCTCCACTTAGACACGTTTATGGGACAAACAGCAGGATAAAACAAAGTTTTTATTGGTTTTACCTGCAAATGATTCAGATAATTTGTTTAAAGAGTCTGTGGTATTAAATTATTGTAATAAATATGAAAGCATTTTTAGAAAGATAACATGTTGCGAAAAACAATGCATGCAGCTGAGATGAACAGTTGTTGAGATATTCTCATGTTCAGTAACAGGAAGTGATGTCATAGGGGAATGTCTGCATGTAAACAGACCATTGCTACAATAACTAACAGACTAGAGAAGAGTTTGATGTTTCTTTAGATTATTTAGAGTCTCTATCAGAGAGACGAAGAAGAGTTTTATGAACAAAGACCAGAGTTCCCCTTTGATGTCACTTCCTGTTTCACTTTGGCTGAGCCAAGTTTAAAGGAAATAAATGAGTAAAAATAATGTTTTATGCCAAGTTTCTTAAATATAAATGTTTTCTTTGAGTTTTTGTATTTACAGGACATGGCTTTCAGACACTTTAAAGAGTAACTTACCCCAAAATTAAATTTTTTTAGCTGATAAACTGTCTAGAATGTGTCTAAAATGTTATATAGTAC